GAGGAGGAGGAGGAGGAGGAGGAGGAGGAGGAAGATGCTAGAGACTACCCCATTGATGTTGAAGGTAATAATATTCTATACTTAATCTTTTAATTTATTTTCACCGTGATGTATTTTCATGTATGTACTTTTTATTAGATATTTCATACACGCCGATGTCGAGTGGATCGAATCATTAGAAATAATATTCGAAAGTCGCGTGACTGAATAAAGCAACTAAAGGTGAGTTACCTTAGTATGCTAAATATAGTCGCTATATCGGGTGTGTGATAAAAGGTCTGTTCGCGATGTTTTCAATTTTCACACACTCAATATCTTCACTTTTTTTCTCTTCATCATCCGGTTACACATTTAAAAATAAATAAAATTTTCTAACGTCGTTGTAGTTATAAAATTTTGGAATTTCAAGCGTCGCAATCAGTCCTAATATTCTAATATAATTTATTCTATTTATATCGAAATATATATAACAAAATTTTTTAATCTTTCAGTACAAACTGGTGGTGGTGGTGGTGGTGGTGGTGGTGGTGATGGTAGCGGCAGTGCCAACGTTGTTTCGACGAGAGGGAGGAAAACCCTGTAAACAACGTGGAGCAGCATCACCAGCAGTAGCTTCATCAGCACTGGCAACATCAACATCAACAACAGCAGCATCAGCGACAACACGAGGTTGGTGATAATTTTAATTTCGTAGATTTACGGACGGAAAACTCGCGACGCTTTAGAAATTTCGGCATGCTCGGGAGAGAGGCTAGTTTCGCGATACGACCAATACCCGAAGGTGAGGATACCGTTCGCTGGCTGGAAAACGCGTTCCGTGAAATCTACGCGTATGGGATACGTTCGTGCGAACCGGGCGATTACGTGGGTTTATCGTTCGATTCACCGAATTTGACGCATGGTCCAGCAGGACTATCGTTTCGTCCGGTGCGTGACTTAACTTCCGAGGACATATGGCGACTCGTGAGTTCAGTAGCTCAAAGTGCCGGAGGGCTCGATATCGCGGAAAATTTCGACATGCGCGTTTTTAACGTTGCGGCACCTGCGGGACGTGGTGGTAGAGCAAATCGACTAACACGCGAAGACGTAGCAAAACGCTCGATTTTGTAATTAAATAACTCTGAAAATTTGTGTTTTCCACGTTCCCTCGTAGTGGCACTAGCACATTGTGAACGAGGAAATCTGCGTATGGGTGAACTCCATGAAAAATGGAATTGCATAAGACGACAGAGCTCCTCGTTACAATCCGAATTAGCGAAAGAACTAACGAGGAACGCTGGAGTCACAATTCCCGAGCAGGGATGCGGTATGCGTGAAATCGAGCGTTTTCAACGTTACCTCGCTGCCGAAAATATAGCAATAATTGTGTTCAATTTTAGTACTTTCGGGCGCGGTGAGAATCCTGTATATGACGGTTGCACGTTACTTGACTCTCTAGGACGCGAACCGAGTATTAAACTGCATATAATGTACTATGAACGTAAGCGTCATTTCAACCCGATATTAAACGTAAAAGCCGCTGCTGGTTCTCGCGGGGGATATTGCGTCGCGTGCAACATGGGCTATCGTAAAGATAGAGGTCACCGTTGCACTAAAAAATGCCCACGTTGCCACGCGATTCCGTCGTGCGAATCCCCCGACGCGCAGCTAATTAAGTGCCAATCGTGCAATCGTGCGTTTTTCGGTACCACGTGTTTCGAACGTCATCGCGCGGAAAGATCTTACAACGATCAATCCCCCGCAAGCGTTTGCGAATCGGTTAAAATTTGTAACAATTGCGGACGATTCGTAAAGTTAAATTCAAAACACGAATGCGAAATATCCTATTGTAGAACATGTCGATCGCTTCAGTCTTCGAATCATTTCTGCTTCATGCGACCTCTTCGATGTAAAGTCGTTACTGAGAATCCGGGTGAGGGTACGAGTAGTGCGACGATACAGGAAGACGTGACACATGCAAGTGAGAATGAGCCCAAAGTCAAAGACAAAAAAAGAGACCGCGTCGCATTCGTGTTCTACGATTTTGAAACGCGACAGGACGAGACTTACGAAGGTACCGAGAACGTAAAAATTCACGTTCCAACTCTCTGCGTCGCGCATCAGATTTGCGAAACTTGCGCGGAGATAGACGATATGTCGGTGCGATGTCGTTGGTGCGGAGTACGCGAGTTTATATTTCGAGATAATCCCGTGAAACAGTTTGTCGAACTCGTAACGCGAACGACAAAATGTTTTAAAAAGATTATTTGTATCGCTCATAATGCGAAAGCGTTCGACGCACAATTCATTTTAAAGTATTTAGTAGAAGAATCCGAAATTACGGAAGAACCGCGGGTAATTTTGAACGGGACGAAGATTATCGTAATGACGGTCGGGAATACGAAATTTATAGATAGTGTAAATTATTTACCGATGTGTTTGGCCGATTTACCCAAAGCTTTCGGGCTGAAGGATACGTCGGACAAAGGCAACTTTCCTCACCTGTTCAATACGAGGGAGAATCAATCGTATATCGGTCCGATACCTGACGCGCGATATTATTCTCCCGATCAAATGAAGCCCGAAGAACGAATGTGATTTACAAACTGGCACGATGAGATGATACGCGCAAATTTTATTTTTAATTTTCAACATGAAATAGTAAAATATTGCCGTAACGACGTAGAAATTCTTC